GAAAGTATTTTGGAAGGCTGCTTGGCAGAGATCAAGCAAGGGCCATCCATCTCAATGGCTGAAGCGTCGCAAATGTTGCAGGAGGTGCGCGCTGCTGAGATCCCTGATTGGATGAAGCAAAGCTTCACGAAGCAGGTGGAACAGAAAGCACTGTCTAGCATTGCAACCCCCCCAAGGTTCGACCAGAACGGCGATGCAAAGACACATGCGCTTGCATCACTTTGCTACCAAAAAGGATGGGATGGTTTTTGTGCAATCCCAAGTTGAGTTGGGATTCCAAAATGCAAATCCTCACCCAGCGGTGTGCATTGCTAGGCCTCACTTGCTCATCAGAGCCTACACAAGTCCTGATGATTTCAATCCTGTTGATGGCTGCCCACAACGGTCCTACAGAGGATCTGACAATTGATGCACAAAGGGCCTTTGCTTTGCTGAAAGATTTGAAAGTTGTGATGAAAGCAAAGGCAAAAAAGCCAAGCACAGTGGCGTGACGGTCTATCCTGCTGAACCAGGCCAGCTTCCTGAAGCCATTTACAAGGCTGCCTACCAACACGACGAAGCTCCTGTCGAATGCCCTCTTGACACAGCTGGTTTGCAGAATTTGGCCGGTGACTTGCCAATGCGGAAGACTCATACGTCTGTCACGATCAGGGGCCGATCTGCAGGGCATTACAAGACAGATGAAGCTCTCAAGGAATGGATGTGGGGGGGCCTTGTGCAGCAAAGCAAATTTTCAGTTTCCTATAGCAGCACCACAGCCACCTCCCAAAACAAGGGTGACTCTTCTTGGCAATAACAGAAAGAGGCCCTTGGCCTTGACCATGGGTGATGAGAACACAACTGAAGAAAATAAAGACCTTGAGACTGCAGAAGTTCAGGCAGCAAAAGATGGTTCAGAAGCAATGACACCGGAGGAGGCAAAAGAAACAGTTCCAAAACAAAATGAAAAACCAACCTGCATCAAGTCTATTGATGCCATGGCAAACGATGTGCTCCAGCAACTAGAGCACAACAAAGCAGTGGCAAAGGAAAAGAAAGCAGCAACTACCCCAAACAATAAGAAAAAGAAAAGGCACACAAGAAGACTCCGAAGAATAAATCGACTGAGAAAAAACAGCAGAAGAAAAAATGTTGGGTCGAACAGGCCAGCAAACACTTTGGCATTCCCAGGGACTGAAGCCCGAGCGCCACTTCAAATTGAAGGTTGCTGTGCAATTTACACCTGTCCCAAATCAAGTTCCTGGAGGGTCAAGCAGGTGGGAGAGAAGAAAGACAAAGCGTTCTCTTGGAAGGTTGAGAGTGCTAGCAATGTCTGGAAGCGAGTTGTCGCACATGTGGAGGAACTGAAGGGGTCTGTGTGATTTGCTCGCAGAGGCTCGCCCTACAAGCGCTGGGGAGAACAGCGAGCGCGCATTCGGGGAGAAAAAAATTGCACGGGTGTGGCTGTGTGCGCGGCTGTCACTGTGTTCAAGTTTTTGGTGACTTTGTCTCGCGCATTTTGTTGGAGGACTTTTGTGTGAGTGTGCACTGCGCGTGTGTTTTTCCTTCTAGCCTCAGGACAATGGGCGAGCCTCATTCATTGTCCAAATCATGTCTGACAGTTGGATGGTTTTTT